AGAGAGAGAGAGAGAGAGAGAGAGAGAGAGAGAGAGAGCTTGTTATTACATCGTACGCGCCATCACAGAAATATCGTGTGTTTTGTGTCAAGACAGATTTGGCTAGGAACCAAAACAACAAGAAGGCCAGGCAGAATGGCAAGCGAGGCAGAGCTTTGTTGTTGTTGTCGCTTGTTTGGGTTTTTTTTTTTCTTGTCCGTTTTTATTTAAATTTTGTTTTGAGGTTTTGTTTTCCAAGAAAGGTGTGCCCGAGAAACAACATCCAACTAGATCTAGATCTACTCACGGGAAAAAGCGAAGAAAAAGAAGCAGAAAAAGAAGCAGAAGAAGACGAAGAAGAACAAGAAGAACAAGAACAAGAGCAAAAACAAGGAGGAGGAGGGGGAGAAGAAGAAATCCAGAGGGTGTCATTATTCATTCTAGAACATGTGCACAAACAAAAGCTATTCTTTATAGAAAAAATACAAGGAAATTAAAACTTACGTTCTTCTTGATGTAGAGGTGAGTTTAAAGCTTGGAAAATATTGTAGAGCTTGAAAGCGTTGGGTTTCGTTGGCTTGGTGGGTCTGCTATTTAACGCTTTGAGACGACAAACGAAGAAGTGTTTTCTGTCTGAAAAGCTTGCGGAATGCTTGGCAAAAAGCTTGGTTCGAGCCAGTAGCGTCTCTTGCAGCTGTTGTTGCTGTACTGTGTGACTGGGTGTGCGATGTGAGTAAGTCGAGCGGATTTATAACAGCAGCCAGCCTGCGCAGTGAACATAACAAAGAACCACGTGGCCGAAGCGATGACCTCATTTTGACGTTGTTGATAAAGAGAAAGAGGGCGTTGTTCGCTGAAGTATGGTGCTCTGTTTTGGGCATATTTAATTAAACTTGTTTTATTATGGTGAATTATTGTTATGTATTTCCTTGATCCACATGAGTAGCTAAGGTAGTAGGTAGATCTAGCATCTATTACCACTCTCAGCCCCCACTCCTATTGGGAAAAAAGTCAAAGGAGGGACAATTATAATACCGTTAGATAGATAGATAGATAGATAGATAGATAGATAAATATAGATAGAGAGAGATAGATAGAGATAGCGAGAGAGGGTGAGAGATAGATAGATAGATAGATAGATAGATAGATAGATAGATAGATAGATAGATAGA